ATAAAACGTTTGAAAACGCCCAAAACACTGTAAAAATGGGGGCCCCACAGCGTCCCACCCTCCAGATTGAGGTCACGTAATTGGGCCTTGTTTTGGGGTGGGGGTTGTTCGGGTGGGGGTAGTATACACTCCTGCGATCTACGGCCCGCGGGTCTCTGTGGCACCAGTCTGTTGCGGACTTCATGTGAGCAGTTTTTTTGGATGATTGAACCAAGCAAGCTTCTATTCTCCTTTAAACTCTACAAACTGAGAATAATGTGTTCAGTCTGTTGACCCATAAAATATATATCTGCCCTTCCCCATCAGTTCAAATCCTGGCCCGAACCCGTTGTGTATGGAGTGAAGGGTTTCAGGGCTCTCTAGAGACTGCAAGGGCTTCATCCAGACCCCCCTGCAATTGAAAGCCCAGGGGCGATTGAATTAATCAGTTGTTGGGGGAGGGGGGTCATTATGTAAGGGTCGATTTTTCCTTCTATGGACGAGAACACCATATCTGAAACGTTGCAAAATCATGTCTTTTGTGCAAACTCTGGCACCTCCTGTGCGCGACGTGGATGAAGTTTGTGGGTGACTCCTCCCACAAACCACGTTCGTCCGTCACCACAAACCTCAGTTTGCCAACTCAATGGAGCTCAACATGTGCTTGCTGCTTGATCAACTTGGACCTGACAAATGGCATCAACAGGTACAAGACAGAGACCGAAGGTCTCCCCTGCAGCCATGATCCTGCACACGTCTTGCAACAATACAGCAATGTGCATTTTCGTCGGGTTGCAGATCCATTATTCATGGCCCTGTCACTTCCAGTAGAGTCACATGCCGGCAGGCTTGGTGATGGCGATGAAAGAGCTGGACTCAGCTACTTTCTCAGCATCCCACCTTTCCAGCTTGTGCGTTAGGGCTGGACACCCTGCTTCTGACTGAATCTACCACAGCGGCGCACGACAGCTAAGTGCAGGCAAAGGCCATGCGCAAACTGTTTACACTATCATTTGTAAATCCGCGAGTCTATTTCCAGCCCAGCATGGACAGCTATCTGTGCTCGCACCAATGACAAACAAACAAACAAAAACTTAGCAGAAGCCCAGATCACAGGTCTCATCTGAGCGTCCATTGCACACTGGGCGGAGCCCCTGCAGTGAGATTCTCCTCTGCAGTGCTGGAGAGATCCTGAGGTCTTCCATCATGATGCTTGTGGTGAAGGTGGCGGCGGCGGTGGCGGTGGTAACGTGCTGATCGCACTAACCAACGCAGCCCAAGGCACAAAGCAAAGGGATTCTGGACATTCTCGCCACCAGTAGGGGTCCTGAAGCTAAATCTAGAAATCAAGCACTCTGCTGGGATGGTGAGGGGCAAAACAAAGGTCAAGGTCCGGACACAGGGAATTGTCTGTATTCAGGGGCTGGGGTTCATCAACCTGGAAGAATGATGACGAGGCAAAAGGAAACTTGCATGCCAGCATACACTCGCTTTGATCTCTTTTTTTGCTGAAGGCTTCCTCCCGAGAGCAATTCTTAAATAAACACCCAGAATTCACCCAGAGGTGGCTAGCACGAGCTTGCAAGACAGCCTTGGTTGCAAACTCTGGTTGCAGTTTGGTTCGGCTAACAAGTAGTTTGCGCGTGCGTCCAGAGCTGAAGAATGCAGAAACCAAAATAGGTAGACAAGATTCTTGAATGAAATTCTGGCATTGCTGACCTCCTACAAAAGTTCTGTAAGGGAGTACTCAGTAGTTTGTGGCAGCACACAGGCTTCAACATGAACACGCAACACATGTCACCCGCGGCGGAATGCCTTCAAGATTTTGAACAATCACCATCACACACCCGCACACCAAAAAGAGCGGTTCAAACTGCAGTCGGGCTTCTACTTACATGTCCAACCCACACCGAACATATTCAGAAGCACAACGACGACGACGATGACTGCTCCCCCTCCCGCAGCAACAGCAACCACAGGCAAGCGTTGCAACAGGTGCAGGGTAGTTTCGACGACAATGACGAGACGGAAAAACCATCGTGCCTTTTTGTGTGAAGACCTCACCAATTCCCTGAACCGCGCACACTACCCCTCTACAGTGCTTGACCACCGAATCAATGTTCCAGCGTCCTCCTCCTCTTCAAAGAGCTTGTCCTCACACGCCTCCTGAAGCAGGGGTCGTCACAAAACTGAGGGAACTCGACAGCAAGAACTGCAGAGTGAGTGTGTTCTGATGAGGGTACTGCCATGCCTGGTCAAGTAATAGCTCGTGGGTCCTTGACAGGGCTGGGTAGAAAGTCACCCTGTTTCAGGCCAACGCACCCCATCTCACTTCTCAACACAGGCATCGCTTTGACTGAGGTTGTGCCTCTGCTCTGCACATATGTGCTGCAAGTACCTAACATGTTGACTTGAAGCTGCATTCGCAACCCATGTTATCCAGTCATAGCGGCTGGGTGAAGATAGCAGAAGCCCATCTTCTTCACTCAGCTCCCAACCAAGGAGTTGTACAAACTTCGTGTGGTGTTGAGAAGGCCCAAGGCGTCACAAGATTCCTCCACGTGAAGCAATAGGCCTTCGACCTCCCAACCACACCATCCATCGATTTGAACGGAATGCAATCCTCAACTCAAAGCCTCGCAATGTCAAGCATGCGCGGTTCCTCGTTGCTCAAAGAAGCATAATGGCACTTCCGACAAACAAAGTGAAGCTAGTGGTTAAGTGCCGTTTTTCTGCAGGTCCTTATATGTAATGCAGCCCCCTCCTGGGTAATTCATGGCAATGACTGGGTTCCTGCTTAATTGGATGTATGCTGGGGCGTTAGCTGCCCAGTGATGAGCCTTAGTCACCCCAAATCAACAATTGGGGACCTTAGAGTTCTATGGGGATTTACTCAGGAGTTGATTCCACGGTCCTGCCCCATCCCGAGGGATCAGGCTAACTCATTCTGAGACACTCCCCTAATCTAAGGACTAGATCCTGGTTGCTCTTCAGGAACTTAATATAAGTTCCCATACCATGGATATATAGTAAGTTATGTCAATGTGTGTATATATATACACACATAATTTGATTGTAATTCATAACAACTTAAGTTCCTTAAGAGCAAGCCTATTATGTATCCAGATGCACCAACCCTCCATAACCCCAATAGAATCCGATAACCCCTTCATAACCCATGAGTATAACTAAACCTAAACCCCTACAAGCCCTAAAGCCCTAAAAAATGTGGCCAAAGCTGTCCTCCTGCCAGGCTGCCACAGTCTGTGGGTCGAGACCGCAGTCCAAGCCCCGTCGTCGGAGGCGCTCCTGGGTGATTTAGGAATGAGGGTTTGAGGTTTAGAGTTTAGGGTTTTGGGATGAAGGTCTTCAGTTTAGGGTTTTGTTTATACGGGAGGATAATGGAAAAAGACATGGACACTTCATGGGATGCATAGGTGGAAGGGAAACGACACTGGAAACCACCTTTTAGTCTGTAGGCATCTGTAGGCTATAGGGTATTATCCCATAATTAAAGATCGGATGGAAAAGAAAGTGGAAGATGAAATGGAAACGAAAGCATGCAGTGCCTGTAGAAGCCCTATGGGGACATCTGCCAAAATAATACAGGATCAAAATGGTAAAGTACATGGACAATGAAAAGGAAAACCCCAGGTCCTTTTCAAAGGGTTGTATAGGGATATGTAGGATTTAGGGAGGTTTCGAGTTTCAAGGGTCGGAGGCTTGGGGTCTAGGGTCGACACAGGTTTTGTGGTCTATGCTGAAGGCTTTGCATACTGAAAAGGCTTCAGGCTTGTGTGGTGTCAGGGAACTAGGGGTCGCCCGCAAGGACACTGCTGGACAAAAGAACCATTTATACGTCATGGCAAAACACACAGCACACTCACAACACCCATGGAATCCATGAACGCACAGAACTCATGAGGGTTTCGCAACGCTCATGAGCGCTCGTGACCGCAACTTTTGTGAGCCTTGGCGCGAGTGCCATGATGGTTCAGATCTGGCAGAGCATGGGAGTTTGGCGACGCTTCCAAGGCCTCATGGGCTCGGGCCGTTAAAGACGATGAGAGAGAGCTTTGCGCGACTCTCATTTCTTGCCATTCTGGTTGCGCGAAACTTCCAAAAGGCCTCTGGGCCCGGCGCTTTCCATGCGAGTGCATATGTGAGCGCTCAGGCTTGAAGCACGTCAATGCCAAAGCCATACTCTCATAGATCCTCGTAGTTATTCAACCTACCATGAGGGCCTGATGGGCCGGCATCACGGTTTCGAGTCAGCGCAGCCCCACGTTTAAAAGCCTACGATGCTGGACGGATTACTGTTCGCAAACCTTCTAAACTTCGGGCACTGCTAGATCTTGCTCAGCCAGATGCACGAATCAATTTCAGAGATGCACATCGATTTCTACAGTAACAGCCCCGTATACCTCCGCGACTTTTCTTTTTAGACGCCTGAATATCGCCTTGCAGGCTAGGAGAAAGGCTTACGTTCCCGAAATCTTGATGGATGAATGCCAATTCTTGCCTGCAACCTTCCTTACCTGGATTTGTGCTGATTCATGCAACCCAAACTCAGATTGGAACAGGGGCTCGATCCCATGGAGCCAGAAAGGGTAAGTCAGTGGGGTTCGCCATTCCCTTCATACTCCAGATTTCCAATCCTGAACTCTTAGGGAAAGTGGAAATCCCCCTGCTCTGCGAATTCCCTGCACTACACAAGCAAATAACGACAATCCGCTCTCAACTTTAGATCTGCCCATCTCATATGCCAGCAAAGCCAGAGGTGCCAAGGACGGTAGGTTGGGGAAGGACGTCTGTAAAAAAGCAGCCTGGTCCTGGCACAGCGTTGAACTGCACATGGTAGTGGAAAGGCTGCTATATGGGGGGTTTCCCAAAATTAGGGGTACCTTTTTTGGGGGTCCCCATAATAAGGACTATGGTATTTTGGAATCTATATTGGGGTCCCCCTATTTTGGGAAACTGCTATATCTAGAGCTGACCACTCTTGTCTTTGCCTCCTCCCAGAGTCTCAAAACCTGACTTTTGACGAATTTCCCAACCCATCCAATCGGGTGGAGGATTGCAGGGCTCCACTCAAGATCCAACCCAACTTAGAAGTCTTAACTTCAAACGGTTGATGTCTAAAGGGCTAGACATGAACGCCATCTTATGTTCACTTCGACACCTGAAATTACACAAGTTTGGGATTATCTTGCATAGAATCATCACCATTTGGGGTGAGGTCGGGTAAGGTCGTTATAGTTTGTCCCCCTTTCATGCGACAACAATTGCGCTGTTCAGTTCATGGTTATCTCTGCCCTTGCAGCTGCCAACAATGCTCAGTCATTTACTCTCACGCGGTCTTGCACCCTGATCTGCTGGGAATGAAACCTCATGCACCCAGGTCTGAAAGACATAATTGCTGGATCTGCAGCTGTCAGGACCTTCTGTCCTCAATTATTAAGATTTGCACAAAACTGATCTCGGCGTACCTGCAAGCTTCAAAGTGGCATCAACCGCCACGAAACCTATACACTTCACCCAACGAGGTTGCCTTCTCTTATGGAAGAATTGCCTTTTCCGGATTCAGAACTGTGCGGGCGCGCTGACCTTTTTTGTGTCACCTCTCCCTTCCATTCGTTCCTGACTGCCCACCACCCCTGCCCCCTCTGCCTTCAGGGGCCTCCAGAGCCTCCAGGCACCTCCCCCCCTCCAGGGGCCTCCAGGACCTCCCCAAAACCCGCTTGGAAAATTCGCAGGAAGGAGTCCGCATGGCCCCAGTGCAGCATTCGCTCCTGGCACCTTCACGGCACAGCTGACACTGTTCCCCACCACAGCCACTGTCGAAACAGCTCGTCACGGCTTCCTCCTTGGAGTCTTTGCACATCTGCGGAGGATCAACGGAGTGGTATGTTTTATCACAGCAGCTGGCGATCCTCTTAGCGTCTTGACGGCACAGCTGGCACTGCTCACCACTGCAACCCTGGCAGGCGGCCTCCACGCAGCTCTTCGCATCCTGCTCCCAAGCACATCGCGTGCCAGCGGCCCCCCAGATCCCATCGCATGGATTCTTGGGCTGGGCTTTGCACATGTCGATCTGGGAAATTACCGAGGCCATCTCCTGCCCAGAACAGCAGGATTGGATGGTCTTGGCATCCTCGCGACACAGCTGACACTGCTCTCCGCCGCAGCCATGGCAGAGGGTGTCCACGCAAGTGGACACACAAGCAGAGATGGTGGTCGTGGAGTGGTCGTGTCTTCCCTGCAAAGCTGACATTGTTCACCACCGCACCCGCGGCATTTGCTTTCAATGCAGCCGCTGATCGACTCTGCTGAAGCCACTGCAAGCACCAAGCTGAGCACAATTGCACGAGCCATGGCGATGTAAAGGCTGATGAGAAGCTGAATGCCCTGCGAAGCTGCTGATTAGCTGCAAAAGTCTTGAGTCAAAACGGAATCACAGGCAGGCTCTGGAGACTGCAGTGCTCGGTGCTCAGAATGCTCATCTATGGTTGTACAGGCCTGAGCAAGCCATTAGGTCTTAAACCAAATGAAACTCGCACAGCCGCCTTGAAGTGGGCAGCGCCGAGCCTGGCATGTAAGCGTTGCTCAATCATCCTGATCGTGTAGCAGCTTAACAGGCACTTGTAGGAGGCCTCCTGACACGTGAGCCTGCAATCTTAGCTTCAATCCTGCTGGCTCCACTGGTGGAGCTGAGCATCGCTGAGGTCAAGATCCATGACCACTCGTTGCAGGTTCCGATGAACACCTCAAGACTTTGTGGCAAGTGTACGATTCCCTATCATGTTGGCATCTTTCACGAGTAGCCCCTTGATTGTAAGCTTCCTCTTACCCACAACGATATCCTCCTACTGCCCCAGCTGCGTAATTGCGGCAAGTTCAAAGAGTCTTCCCTAAAAAAATGGGCCTTCTAGGGCCCATTGAGGCCCAGTTCCCGCTGAAGCCAAGACGCGCTTGTTGATGAAGTCAACACGTTGCTCTTGGCTGAAACTGGCCGGCTCCTGTAGGGACACAACCCAGCAGCTTCTCAAGATGATCCCTACGTAGCAAAAAGAAGACTGCCAAGTACTCGACAATGTTACCCAGAGTTAGGTGGGAACGTCTCCAAATGGCCCCCATGAAAATAGGAGTAGGGATGTCATATTCCTCTGGTAGGCCCACTGACAGATTAACATCTGCTTTGAAAATCTTGACGTCCTGCTCAGGATCGGGCTCCAGTTCCAATCCTGGTAAACGGGCAATTCTGGATCCAACGCGCGGGGTTCAGGGTGCAAGAACTTAAGGCGACTCAGATTACATGCGTATGTACGCATGCATGTATGCGTGCATGCGTGTATGCATACGTAACGGATAAGCTTATAACTTCAGAGGCTGGGGATCCATTTGTTTCTTCTTTCTTTTTCTGGATGTTGTTGTGTCTCTGGGCTCAACAAGCAACTCATGCGGGCCAGTTAAGTATCAATAGATGCCAGTGTGGGACCCTTGTCGCACGGGCATCCTTCATTGGGTGCGTTAACCCACCTCCGCTCCCAGCTACGGCATGCGGGTCTCAAGTTGATGTCTATTGCAGTGACCCCAGAATCATGTTCTTGTCCCTGTTGATCCCCATCCCTAGTCTATCGGACAGGGCCCAGCAATTTTATAGGCCCCATGTCTCAGCAGTCCTGCCATGACTTTGAAGCCAGGATTGTGGAGCTATATTTTCAGTTGGAAACGTCAGCCTAGTGTGCGGTTCTCTGTTGTCGAAGAAGTGGTCAGAAGCATGTAACTTTGATCCTTCAAATTTCCAACGCGTTGGTGTTCATGGGGTGGTCACTAGTGTGTGCAGGATACTGTTGCTGCTGCTGCTGTTGTTGCTCTGGTTGATCGTCACGGTCATCAATCTCTGTCTCATCCTCAGACAAATTGGGGATATATTGAAATGATGGAAAAGAAAATGGAACCTATAGGGATTATCTAAGGGTTATACAGGAGTTATGTGGTGTGCCTATATTTTTGCTTTGCCACTATAGCTTCGCGGTGTGCTGGGCGCCACCGAGCCTCGAGCAGGCTGTGGCTGCAGAACACAAAGGCTCAAGCAATCTCGTGAAGTGCCTGAATCCTCTGAATGCAGTAGTCCTGAGATACACATGTGTTGGGGGATCCTTGCTGGTGAAGCATAGCCCTATGTAGACCTGAGTAAAATCCACAATCTTAGAGAAGGCCAAAAGATGGGTCACAGAGTGAACAAGACCGTAACTTGCCATCCCGAAAGCCAAAATGTGCAACGCCCCAGGAACACGCCGGTCTGTGGTGAATCTAGGTGGAAGCTCGTGCAGCCTGAATCTTTTGTGCCGGGTCTAGCCAGTTCGCATGCCAAGCATTCCATTCACATGCTCCACCAAGTCTTTTCCCTGGCGTAGCCAAGTGTGTTCTCAGAGTGAATCGGAAACAATGCTCGCACGAGTTGATAGCTGCTAGCCGTGCCTTTACTAACAACATGCCTCGAACCGCTGCCGGCAATGAGCTACCAATTTACCTGTATACCTGAAGTTGGCAAGCTGCTTCTGATCCTATGCACCTATGCTGCACATAACACTTGGCCGTGACACCTAGAGCGATGGGGAAACACCAGGCTTCAGACGGCATGTCTGCAATGTGTCCGATAACATGAAACATACACAGTACTTGCCAATTGGAAGCCTGGTGCCGCACTGCAGCTCATCATGTGCACCTCCGAACTACCGCGGGATGATAGCTTCAGAGAATCCTTAGCACAGGATTGGGTACAGCATTCCCAATATACCCCATGCACAAGCTGCTAACCACTTCGATCCATTGCATATATGGCCTCTGAGAGTACTTGGGACAGCGCAGGTGAGACAAAACGGATCCGACAACCTCACCTCAGTTGCATCTGGCTCAGCAGCTAAAGGTCACTTGCACATGTTGCACGAAGGAAGAACCAGGTAATTAACCAGGACATCGAATTCTACAACAAGGCCCAACTTGGGAGGCCGCCCCATCTTGTATAACAGGATCGCCAAGGGCGGCAGGTAAAAGAACATGGAAGTTTTTGCCTCGAGCTCAGCGGCTACAAAGACCTTCTCTAAGCACTTGGATTTGCACAGCCGCATGTGTCTGCCTGAAATCACTGCAGTCTGCCTACTCTGGGCTCACGAGGCCATTCTTATGTCAAACATGGGTCTAGCAGGAGTCGGCCAGTCAATCTCATCATGCAAAGCCAACCCGCTGAAAGCCTCGTAAGTGGCGTGGGTTGCGAAGCCCTTGCCAACGATACAGTGCCAGTTTGGCCCATACCTTGCCATGATATGGGCATGATGTCTGATGAGACAAGAGCTCCAATTTCTTGGAGGGCTTCAGGGTCTTGACTCTCTAATTTAATCTGATCTAATACATCCTGTCCTCATGCTCAGGATCAGGCTTGCCATCGAAGAATGCCTTGATATGGCGCGAGATATCCTGAGGCAGGGGTTTGGGGCACCAGGCTCTGCGACCTGGGAGCGGCAGCAGGTGGCATCTGTTGCGCGTACATCTCTAGCTTCTGTATAGCACTGTGGCGGGACCTTCTCGTTCTCGAACTTGCCCATTGCTGTTGATGCCTGATGCAGGTCTGCCACAGAGGCTCAGGCAGTGGGCTGTGGTTGCCCTGAGAAGCCCATACGTAGATCCCAACCTTGCCTGCTGAACGGCGTCGCGGATGTATTCGCTCCCCTCGTCGGTGTCATGCTGGACCTGGCAGTCACACTCCTACGAGACTTACCACTTAAATCCATTTGAATTGCCAATGAAGCATCTAATCTCAGGGTGACCATTCTCCTATGGGGCAACGCGATGCCCTTCAACAGAACCACTCAGCGTCAACACGTGCTCTCTGGCCTTCGTTCCTTCCGGCATCTTACCTGAGGGCACAGTACTGCTCCACAGGTAATTCAGCATTTTGGGGCGGTTCTGTGCTGATGAGTTCAGCTGCTTCTGGTGTCAAGCCCGGCAAAGTCCTTGCCTCAGTGAGCGACTCTGTCGCGAGGCCCGAGGAACTGTGGGAACCGTACCCCCTTCTCCAGCTTGAGACGCGAAATGCGGACAACGTGACAGGTTTGCCATGTAGGGTCTAGCTGGACTAGAGCTAACGGCCTGAAAAGAGTGTTGTTTTGATTTCGGTTTGCAGAAGTTTCTGTCCATTGGTTGTAGTTGACTCAAACGGCCACGACAACAACAGAAACCTAGTTTTCAGAACTGCCCCTTATACTAATACAAAAAACTAAATTCAGGTTAGAAAAAATCCGCAAGTGTACTTTTAAAAAGGGCAAGACGGCTTTCAACGAGGCCACCTAATAATGAATTGGATGGCTTCTGGAATTATCATTTCTTATTGCTTTGATTCACTAGTTCTTTCATCTCAAATGCTTAAATATTCAATTACTCCCTTTTCCATGGAGTTTCAAAGGACTTTAAAGGCAGCCCTATCTAACTCAATGAAGACCCTCCGGAGTTTAAAAAAACAATTTCGGGCTTCGGATTCTTTAACATTTCGGGGGGGGAGGGGACGCCGCTTAATATTTGGGGGAAGGGATTAGCTAGAATGCTCGGGCGTGAAGGGCTCTGCAACTCTGTGTCGTCAAACCTGGGAATTCAGACCAGATTCCGTCATATAGTGGCATGAACATGGTCACAGTCTAGATGACATGGTGTCAGCGGAAAGGTAGAGCTTGGCTAACAATATCCTGAGCGGCTTATCAGTCCTGGTCGGCTACGGGTCTGAATCTCTGAGACCGAGCCCTGCTAAGCAGTTCTTTTGTTGCGTGCCGAGCAGGTTCTGCACTGCATGCCAGCTGTGCCCGCAAGACCACAGCAAGGGCGCTATCTACTTTGGCTCTACAGTAGGCTAGCAGCACATCTGCTTGGCTACAGGGTTCAGGTTTTATCATTGTATTGTGTCACCCCAAGCTCAAGTGAGGTGCGCCGATGACTTCAAGGCCGATTAGCAGGTTGGCATGGTCCCAAAGCCTGTGACCCTCCATCCTCCTCAAGCTCAATGTGTAGGGTGCATGGATCCCTACTTACTAGCCCCTACATGATCCCGACAATCATCTTCCTGCCTTCCTCATCAACCTCAACAAGGCCAACCTGCCAAGGACGAACAGATCTCCAACGTGTCCTGGCTCGCCTTCGGCGTGCCGCAGGATGACCATGATTCCAGCCACTCCAGCATCCCAGCATTCTCTTGAATTAGCATACAGGTACCAGATTACAATGTTCAGTTTTGTCGTCATCGGTCGGCCTGCTTGTCAGTTGGAGGCAATCCTAAAGCAACGCTCAGCACGTACGGTCCGGGTTTGCCCGGCAGGCAGAGCAGGCTCTACATCCTCTCAGACGTTCAACAGCTCTTTTTCTTGCATCTTACTGATATGCAACATTGTTTCATGAAATCTGTGGATTACAAACACTGACCTTACATCCACTTCTGAAATGAAAAGCTTCAGCTACACGGTGGCAGGAGGAGCCTGCGCGAGCTTGCAACACGACTTTCGCCGAGCTCAGATTATGTGCAAAGGAAGATTCGCGCATGCGAGCAGACGTGCAAGGCCGCAACGAGGCACAGCTTCGCAGACTTCCGCCCACAGCGAAGAGGTCTTGGACGCAGCAGATGTTATCTGCAGAACCGCTGCCAGATAACTTCAAGAAGGAAGCCCTGAGGCTAAATCCACTGCCCGTTCAGAATTTCCTGTTGCATCTGACACCATTAAGGCATGTCAGGCCAGCTTGCGTAAGAACTGCATCTAGTCGAACTATCACGCTAGGATGCAAAACAACATCGTCCATTCGGCAAGCTTTCCTGGATGCTGCCTTGAATTTCTGGCATGGGCTTAGCATCCCAGTCTGCCCTAAACAGGCTCAGAAATCCAGACTTGCAAAGAGACCTGAATGGATTTGGGCAACAAGGTCCAAACCCGTGTCTGGATCCTGGCTCAGTGTTCTCCTAAGCCTTGCTCCCACAACTACTGTGATGCTGAGCACGCGGGAGGCTCTGGTGAGACAAAGAGCCCGCAGGCAGGAATCTGCTTTATGTTAGCTGCCTATGGAGCTAGATTACAAGATGAGGAGACGGTGGGACATAGAGCAACACATGCATCCCAGTCTACAGCTAAGTCTGAACCGATTGGAAAGGCGGCTTCGCCCAAGGTTGAACGTGCGTACCAGGCGGCATGCGCTACTGCTCCTGCTACTACTGCTGCTACTACCACCAACACCACAACCATCAACACCACAGCTGCTACCAGGACCAGTACTGCCATTGCTGTCAAGCCCGTACCTGCTGTGTCCTGCCATTTCAAACGAGGTGCTGTCAGCGCGACAGCAGAGCCCGGGCTGTACTCACTTGGGTTGCCGGACGCGCTCCAGTTCCAAGACCTGGGAGACAAATCCGCCAAGGCCGGAGTCTAGATCGAGACAAGGATCTTTCTACGGGGCAGGGGGCGTTTGGCTCGTGTGGCGGGTTCCGCGCAGGCTGGTGGGGAGCCGCTTAGATGATACATGGGTGTTTCCAAACATGGGGTCCCACTCTTTTTGTCCGCAAAGTCCACAATCCTGCTCTATAATTACGGGGGCTTCCAAAAAGGGATCTACAATTTCGGGAAAACCCACGTCAGCAATCAATGGCGCCTGGGGCGACATTAAGAGGACAAGGTGGCCCAGCAGCTTTCCGTGAGTTCAGAAATTGGTCACTCATACCTGAGATTGCCTAAGCCCAACAAACTCAAATCCCATGACTGGCTCACAAGCCTTGAACCCTAACCTCCCCAAATCTGGAACCCTCTTCTTTGTACTGAAATGTCCAGTACTACTCACACTCCCCTTCTCCTGCCGCTGCCATTGCAATGACGATGACGACTGCCCTCTTTCTACTTCTTCCATGAATGGTATTCATGCTGACATGTTTGACCAACCAACTACAGGTGACAATGGCAACCGTACTTAGGAGATGGCACAGCAACTAAAACAGTAGCCGGTGTGTAGTCGGCCGAAGAACCACCACATTTTTAGTCCTGTCCCTGTCCAGTACGCACGTTGGCAGATCCCAATTGAATCAATGGGTCCCAGACTGTCAAAGGCGTCAGGATTGAGCATGCCTGCATGCCCTGAGCACTGTTGAACATTCCCTCAACCCAGCCTAGCTCAGCGTTCAGACACGCGGGTTAGACGCACAACTTCACACGTTGCAGGCCTCCAGGTACAGGGGCCCACTTGCAACGGGTGCCGAGGAAGGACGCAAGCATGTCACATCCAAGGGGCGTGAGCCAGTTGCCATGCGCGGTGCTGCAGTAGCCGGTGCACCTTGAACCGGGAGGCTTCCTCGCTGGATGTCTACTTCGGCAAAGGCACTAGCAATGCTAGGCTGCGTGGGTTGTTGGCAGGCTGCATTACAAGAATGTTATACGTGCACGAGAACCGCCTGCTCTGACCATCGCTCAGAGAATGCCGAGCTGATGAACATGACAATTATCATCATGATCGCGTTGGCTATCTCCCACCTAAATGGCCACAGCACCTCCTCCGCTCGTCTCCCATGGGGCAGGCCCCAGCGTGGCATCAAAGACCTAGGCAGCGTGGCACCGCGAGGAGTTTTGATTGAGGAAAAGGCTTTCCACTGAGTCTTGTTACTTTGCTACAGTCCTGGCCATTTTGCCAACCCTCATTGTTGGCATCGACATGCTGCAAACGGCTTCATTTAGTAAACACTGCCTGCGTAGCAGAATACTTAGCAATCGATCTCTACAAGCAACGTCTTTCAGATTCGCATTCCGTGTGCTTTCGACAATCTGCTGCAAACGGCGACCTTCAAAACATGTCACCTATGTCATACCACCTTATGAGAATCACACTGTCGTTGACACAGACAAACAGCAAGGCAAGAACCACCCTATATGCATGAACAATAATTATCGCATTTCCCAAGCAGCTACGTTGCAATGCGTTGTGGAATGAGCTATGTCAGGATTTGCTCGCATTCTGTTCACACGAGATCCGAATTGGAAGCTTCCAGCGCTGTACGCTGCTGATACGCTACCTTAAGGCTTCAGGGTTTAGGAGTTGGGGGTTATATACCCCAACAATAGACAATCAAATGCACAAGAAAATGGAGCATGACATGGACACTACTATGTATCCTCATATGGGATAATTACGGGAGAACCAAATGGATAAGAACGTTGAACATAAGCTAGAAACGGGAATTTCTTATTGGCTTATAGCCATAATGTCACCGTCACCTTTCAGTTGGCCATCGGCCGAAGATTCTGTTGAGGCTAAAGATCCTGCATGACCATACTATACTATAGCACGATAATCCCTAAGGTAAAGCGTACTTAGGGTCATGCAGGATTTTTTGTATCCACCGTGCCACTTTCATTCCTTTTCACAGGTTTAGGTACATTAAGCCCAATAGCAGAGAATCAGATGCACAAGAAACGGGAAAACTAACTGGAAACTGGGGTGTTTCTGTGGTGGTTATTCGGGTTGTTCTTCTTGTGGGCCCCTTTGAATATAGATTATATTACACCAAAATGGGCCTGATTTTGGAAAGTACCCATAGGATGCTTGGAAGCTGACATCGGGGGACCACTTTTGGGATTCGAGCTGTGCATTCCTCTGAGGGTCGAGCAGGTGAGGGCCCAGGGGGCCCAGATCGGCTCGGAGGCGGCCTCGCGGCAGCTACTGTATCCCCCTAAACGATACTGGGATAATGGAAAAGAAAATGGAAACTACTATTATGGGGTTATATAGGGTTTAGGGTTTAGGGTTAGGGTTGGGGTTATTTTGGGATAATGGAAAAGAAAATGGAAACTACTATAGTATATTTGGGTTAACATTGGGATAATGGAGAATCAAATGGAAAA